TTGTTTAGATTTAGAGCCATTCTGATTGACATTTCCAAGTCTGATTTTGATTCTTTGTTCTATTTTCACTTCAGCTGCAGATGCTGGCATCAGTTTATCCTGGGCTGTTATGATTACAGCTGCTTACATCAAAAATTGCATTACGGTACCTGTAACCATACTGCAGGAAATGATTTGTCGTGTTAGATGAACTTCCTCTGTTGCATGAAAAGGTTTTTGCACAGTTACTGTATTTAGCTGTATCACTAATATGTTTTGTTTTAAACACAATACATGTGCACTGACACGTTGTGTGGCTGGCAATGTAAACAAAAAGTGCAGTAGGTTTAAACTTAGCTTTTAGGAATTATAAATAGAATATCTTTTTAACAAATACAGGACAGATAGATGTTGAACTACCTAAAGCTGATCTCAAACTAAAGTGGATCAGGTGGAGAACACACTCCTCAAGGAAAACAGTTCACCAATTAACAACCTTTAAGTTCCTCCTGTAAACTAGGCCAACCAAATGACAAAGTGTTAGAGCGTCTTACAAGGAAGTATCTGAGAAATAGCAACTGATTTATATCGTGATTGGCTGATTGCAAGAAAGTCAAGAAAAACAAGATAATCTTCTATGCCAGGAAAATAAACCCTGAGGCAGAACACCTTTGAGTTGATCAGTATGATTTTAGGATTTACTTCAAGTACTGCAGCTTAAAAGTGAAGTTAACATTTTCAATATTTATATCAACTTGACATTTCTAGAGGTTTTGTGCAAATTTTTTTATAAAGATTTATTTGAAATTCAGCATGCCACATTTAATATCTGTCAGCTACCGGGCCCCTGGAGGTGCAAAGGTTCAAAAGTAAATTGGATAGGAATGTAAACCCTGGAGTCAGTGGACCTTATGCAGCACGCCTCTGTGGTTTGTATTTTTCAACTCAGCTTGAGACTAATTGGGGTCTTTCTGTGGGGAGAGGCATGTTCTTCTTGTGCCCACGTTGGTGCTCTGGGATTTTCTATAACTTTAAATACATAAAACAGTATTTAAGGGATATAGTCCCTCTGTCACCTTATATCTAGCTGGTCTAAGGGCACTGAATAATGGCTACCCATTGCTCCTTAAAGTCATGATGGGTTAAAAACCTATTCAAGGTTTAGGGTACAACTTATTTGGCAAATAAAGGGAGCCGGATTCTCCCAAAAGCAAAACTGAGAAGAGCTGTAAAAGCAGACGTTGTGCACATGAACTCTTCCTAGAAGTGTACTGTGCACTTGAGTATGTCTTTGTAATAGCGAGAGGAACCGCACCGCGAGGAAGAACGAGAGTATGCAGCAAGAGACTAAGGGTGTGAATATGCCTAAACGTGCCTTAGTGTGTCTACATGTATACGTACAGTATATGTAAATACGAAGTATACAGTAGGTGTGTTAGTGTGTGCGCTCTCAGAGTGCTGTTCACTCCTTGAGGTTAGCCAGAGTGGTTAGTGAATGAGTTCTGGTTTTTTGTCTTCCAGTAAGTCTTGTTTTCATTCTGATACTCTGCCTAAAAGTTCACGTACTTTAGATCCACAAATGACCCAGCCTTAGCTTAGACAGGTATGCACGTGTCACTGCGGTAGAGAGTACAATTCTCATCAAACCACAGTGACTGAGTTTAAGATACAATTTCTTTTAAAGCACAGTAGTGCTGTTTAGGTTAGAGTTCCTTTTTAAATTAATTTAAATTGCTTCTGGGGTGTGTGTGCACAATCAGTAATAGATTTACTAGAGATAAATGCTTGTACAGACTTGTAGATCAGTAAATATGATGATGCCTCAATTTGTTTTTTTTCAAAGTTTCCACTTTCTACCATAGTTAAGTAACTCCTGAGAAAGGATCTGATATACTTTCTGGGGAAGTTTCCTGGAAAGGACAGTGCAATTTGCATACAAAGCAAACGACTGTTCATCGTCCATATTCGTTTAACCTGTAAAATATAGATATCTATAAAATAAAAAAAATTAAAAATTCTAGATTTATATGACTTAAGTTAGTGAACATCATGGTGGATGTTTATATTATAACATAATGGGACAGTTTTCATCAACTTCAGCCAGATCACTGTGCAGTGAATGTATACACTGTAGTTGTTAGCTATTTATATATCTAAATTAACTAATATTCTAAGAAGGATTTAAACACAGGGTCTAACACAAACAAACATTTGGCTCTTGTTTTCAAGTTACCAGCAATCTAGAGAAAGACTTCCTGTTCACATGCTCAAACAGTGTGCTTCTTTGTAAAATGAGGATATTCCAACAGAGCTATGGTGAACTGCATAAACAAACTGTAACACTGTGGGAAGACATGCAAACCAAAAGAGATTTCACTAATGACTCTACAGCTGTAACTGAAACAGGGAAATGTCGGAGATAAACATGGCAGTCATCTGACAGACTACAAAATCACATCAACAATTCCACCCAGTCACATAAGTCTGAATATCTTCTGTATTCATGGATCAGCAGTGCAAAGAAAACAAGAAATCCTGCTTTTTGATTGTGGGCCGATAGAGGGGAAAATGGGCATGGTCAGATTGTCATGGTGATTTGGGGGGGGTAAGAAAAGGGGGTGAGAGTGTGAGGTGGCAGATTAGATGACCCCGTGACATAAATTTTCTCTGCATGCCTCACATGGCAGAGAGGGTCCAAAACCAGAAATGACAGCTGAGAAAGCACAACACAAGCACAAAACGTCTCTCTTACTCACACAAGCACCATGACATTCCACGTTTCAATTGCCAGGAAACTAAACTTGCTTGTGAATGCATCAAAGATGAAGGAGCTTGTTTAAACTAAACCACTTAAAATGACGTCTGTGAAGCCATACTCCTGTCTACTTGATATGTAGACAGATGTGTAGATCCAACAAGTACCACATAATTAGGAACCCTCGTAATGACTTGGAAGGACAAGAGGTATAGCCAGCCAGGCTAACACCGGCAGATGAAAACTAGGGAAACCCCATGTGAATCACAAAATCCATGCAAGCAAAACAACACACGTAATGAGGATGACATGATTTTCTTGTGTATAAAGGCCTTCAGATATACTTTGTTTTTGAAATCCCCCTTCCTAAAATATTACTACAAAACATTTTCATATAACTTTGAGGATTATTTTTACTATATAGCTTTGAAACTCATCCACACACCTGGATACAAACATGAAGTGAAACTCCTGTAATATTTCTGTCTACTTGTGCTTCCTTTTTAGCAACAATAAGATTTCTACTAGCGGGGGTTGGCAAAGTGCAACAAAATCTGCATATACAAACCAGTCTAATAAGGGCTCTCAATGTACACCAAACGTTTGCAAACCGCTTATACCCCATGACCTTTTCAACTGAGGTGACTGTTTTAGAAATTGTGTTAGCAAGGGTTCCCATGCCAGCCACATAATATTGTGCACCTGTAAAGACCTAACCTTAATTAGGCAAAACCTTGCTCTATATCCAATTGAATGAAGAGTAAAAATATAGCCCAGAGCTGTAAGAAAAAAGAAATATGTTTTCTCATAATTTTTTGCTCCCAATTCACTGGGTTTCATTATTATGGGTTTTATTATCCAGTGAAGTGTTTTTATTTATAGAAAATAAACTATACACTGTACTGGTTCTGTATGTGGGTAATTTAATACTGTAGGATTCCATTTCAGTTCTGTTTTCAATTTAAAAGAGTCAACTCACTGTACGTACAAAAATATATATTTTTTCCACTAACTCCTACTGATGTATAGCTATGCAGATAGCAGTAGCTTCTGTTTTATCTGCTGGGATTTTGAGATATTTGTCTCTGCGGTGAATGGAATTTCATTTGTTGAGCTCAAAGCACAGAAAGATTCTATGGGAACTTGTCTTTCCACAAAACTATGCCTAGGGGACTTTAAATAACCCACAGTCCTCCCTGTCAACAGTTGACATTAGAACTAGTGTTAGTGTTGTTTAATTTAAATTTACGACTTCTCTTTGAACAAGAAATACATGAGGAAACATGTGAGACATAAAACACAGGTCAATAGCAGTTTAAATAAAATAAGATATAATAACTGCCATCACACCTTAGCGCGGGGGCATTTTATTATTTACTGCTTTGGCCTTGTGTTGAACCATGAAAAACTGATAGCTATGCCCTTTCTACCATCAGACAGGCTAATTATGAGGGGGATGCTACCAGTCTGCTTGGTAACCCATGACTGCCCTTCTTTAAAACTCATCATCGTAGCATATTTTTTAATATGGTTTCATAATGACACTCATCACCTCAACCCACATAGGCGTCAGATTAGAAACTCACTGGTCTGTGTCATTACAATTGCCTCCTATTCATATGACTCTAACTATAAGGAATTGGCCGGACGAACACAAGAGTGCAGAGAAATAGAAAATGCAAATGATGGCTAGTAACCACGTGGAATGGTGAGGTAAATATATAGTATATACGAGTAAGTAGACAACTGCAGTAAAACAAAATCCCATCCTGAAATGAGTGTCCTAGTCTTATAGTTGTAACTGCCCAGGTTGGGGATTATCCCAAAGACACTAAAATTATTCTCAAGAACACTTTGTGTACTCATTCCAAGCAGGGCTGAAAATGACAAAAGATTCTGGGTTTATCAAACTGTGATTTCTGAAGATGCAGTGCGTAAGTGTAGAAGAGTGTTAAATTACAATATCCTATTAATGGCAGGCCTCGACAGGAATGGGGCAGGTACTGCTGTAGTTGTCTAGACAACACTGGCCTTTAATCAGGCTGCTCTATGGTAAATTAAGCCGAGCTGAACACACATGAAAGACAGGATGAAAGAAGTGGGTGGGAAGCATGGTCCTTCCCTATGATAAGCAAGTAACCGAGGTACAGATCTTTGAGTAGATATGGGCGTTTTCATACTGGCTCTTGTAGGTGCTTCAATTTGTCAGTGTTACTTATGCAAAATATAAACATGCCGACATGTGAAGCAGTAAGGTGAAACAAACCTGGGGGAAATCTCCATTCCTAGGGAGGTTGAGGTTGGAAAAGTCCATATCCTGGAATCCAGGGTAAATGTCCATGTGCACATCCGGAGTGGTGGTGGTAGTGCTGCTGTTCAAGTGGTATTGCCTGGAGGGAAAAGAATATGCTTAGTTAATTTAGTTATTTGTTTAACTGCTTCTAGTCTAAGTGAAACTGACACGTGCTGTTTCTTTGCCCTTATACAGTTACACAAATATACACTATACAGCTGCCAAGTACAACCAAAGCCTGCTAATTCTGCGCAATAATCAGCTCCGGTAGAGAAATGAAAGTGGTACTAAAAGGCATCTCATGTGATCAAGCGGTCAAGTGGGACAAGTCAGAATGGAGGATGTTGTTTTCTTAAGATGGTAATATTAGCAATATAATACTTAAATACATTGATCTAACGCTATACTACTCATTACATATTGCAATTCCAACAAATCACGCAAACTTACCAAATGAAAACACTTTTGGTTTCGTTTTGCTGACTACATATTCAATTACTGACTGATGCCACTGAGTAAAGCTATATGCTCTTGAATCTTTCAAAATAAAAGTGTCTACATCTGCATCCAGGTGTTCAAAGCAAACTAAATAGCAATTTCAATTATCAAAATACAAGAAGGATAAGGCAAAAAAAGAGTTTGAAGTTTGAATAGGGGAGGGGAGAGAGAGAGGCCAAAGTCTACAGAAAGTCAAGGAAAGGATATTGAGAACAGCTCCTACCCGCTTTGAAGATCAAAAGTCTGGCTTTCATTAACACCAACCATTCTCCATTAGCCCAGTCATAATCAGTCAGACACAGGTCCACAGACATTGTATTCCCAACATGAGATATTTTCAGTTTCTTGCTGAGTGCAAGTCATCATAACGTAATAACTGACTCTACTGATAGAGGTGGACGCACACTCAAAACAAAAGCAAAACTAAACCTTTGTGGAGGTGGAACTGGAACTGTAACTGTACCATCCCATGTCCCTCTTATCCAATCATGTGCCAGGGCTCAGGCTCAGAGGGATTGAGCTTGGCCAAAGCTATTCACAGGATTTGGCTGTGTCCTCAACCACGCGCCAGGGATCAGTGAGACTGATTGATTTAAGTTCAAAACACACCAGGAGGATGAAAGGGCCAGTCTATGAAAAACATGGTTCCTGTGATTTTTTTTATTTGTTGACTTTTCCAAACAACACGCAGCAAAATTCAATATTTAACTGTGTTCATATTAAAATTCTATATTTTTGGTTAGTATCTGTTTTCAAAGTCACTTTTATTCAGGTTTGTACTGCTACAAAAGTGATCACAAACGCACAAATGTTTGTTGAAAAAAAAAAATTTAACTTTTTATGATATTTGTATGGTTCAGTTTTCAACAATCAAGCAAATAAAAGATTCAATGTGGCAATGAACTTTAAGCCTACACATTGGGGGGGGTGATCTATTGTATCACGGTGAGCACGATGAGTGCACCTTAATTAGAATAAAAAGGTAATGAGATCATACTGGTAAAGAATCTGTTTATTTCTCAGAAAGATCATAGTGCTGTGAATGGTAACAATCATCTGTGCTGGAAATCCCCTTCCTGGCCCTTCAGCCAACACTGATATGACAGTGATATTATTACAGCAGAAGTCTTGGCAGGCCGGCATCAGCTGCTTTCCAACAACACAAAGCTGGTTAGGGGCTCTCAGCCAAAGGAGCTGATTGACTTACTGTTTGTGTACATGTAGCTTTCTCATACTACGCAGCCTGTAGCTGTGTACAGATAATCATTTCAGCCATGTTATTGTTTAACAGTCTCTTATTTGCACTTTAAAAAAAACACACTGGTCAGGCATGTAACAATGCAATATTTTGACACTTTACAAAGATACCTGGTTATCATCTCACAACTGCTAGAAAGATGTTTATCCATGTTTTATTGACTTGTTTACTTTGATAGACTGTGTGTGTGTGTGTGTGTGTGTGTGTGTGTGTGTGTGTGTGTGTGTGTGTGTGTGTGTGTGTGTGTGTGTGTGTGTGTGTCTGTGAGAAAGGACTAGCAATGCCAAATTGCTAATAACAAAACAATTCTTTACACCATATGTAGGACTTGAACAGGATACAGATTTACTTGGAAAGATTAACTTATTATTATTACCTTATAAAAGCCAAATTCTACTTTATCTATTGGTGAGGAGAACAACAGTAAGAAAATTAAGAATTAGCTAATTTGTAGGACAGGATTCTCTTACATAGAGTTAGTCCATTAGATAATTTTGAAGTTTTAACGCAGTTTTAAAGGCTGTGAACTAAGTTTAACTTTATTATGGTTTAGAAAGTCTCCACCACTGACACATCATAATGTTTTTATATTATATAAATATACAGAAATATGGGTATCTTGTTCTTGTGTTTAAGTAAGCAGCAGGACTATACCAAACTTTCTCTAATATAAACAGCTTTCAATAAAAGACAATGGTTATATAAAATTCACTGTGATGAAACATTACCCCATCAGAATGATAACCAACAGTATACTGCTACTTCCATTGAAAGCCAGATGTTTATCAAAGACGCCCTGAGACTACACAGACAACTAACAAGAACCAACTGCTCAGATTCCTTGGAAGTACTCTTCCTTACAACTGGCACAGTCACACAATGTAACTCTCATGGTATCAACAGCGTGCAATAACTGAACTTTGAGTTATAGCACTGGGAAACACTCCATTTTGGCAGCAGGCAGTACCTACAGTGATTACACTGCAAGAAAAACGACATTTTGGAGTAAGGATATCAAAAAGATCTATTCGCTGTCTTATTGGATCAAAAAGAAAACGGTAAAAGAAAGAGTCCATTTGTTTTTACAGCAAATCTCTTTGAAATGTAGTCTATAATGAGGAAGTAGTGTTCAGTATAAAGCAATCTAATGTAGTGCTATTTCACAGACCCATGTTGACCTTAAATACTGCACACAATATGGGTCTTCAAGATTGATAACTTAAGAGTTTGTCACAGACAATTAGAAATAAACAAGGCATAAAAATAGAAGATGATAAGTCGTCTGTTTCTTATTTTTCCACTGTACACAAACACCCAGACTCAGCTGTGTGGAACAGACCTAACCACATACTACCACAAACTGTTACTGCTTTTAGCTAAAAAGATTAAAAACAGTGGGCCTTATTTTCCCTTAAATTGACTGAATTAGAGAATAACAGGAAACCCAACATATGGTAGGTAGTTGATCAACATCATAATCAGCATAGAACTTTTCACTGCATTACATGTTTTTTTTTGTATTTACAATGAGGTCTATAAGTAGCAATCAAGTACAACCTATGAGTATCAGAGTACCCAATATATTCTTATTCAGTTCTGTAGTCCTCTAACAAATGCTGCCAGTGTGAAGCTTAAAATCAAAAAATGTTAACACTATGGACTCATAGTGAGCTTTGTGAACCCAATGCACAGTGGGACTAGCAGTTAAGTGCACATGCCCAGTGTGTCAGTGACATGCCAATACATTTTTGGTTATTTGGTGGCCTTTGGGGTTATTAATGAAGAGACAAGTGCCAAGTTTGACTTTCAGATAAGCAGAGGTGTCTGTGGTTATTTTGCAACAGTCTGGTGCTGGTTACACAAAATTTAACCAGCTGATCTACTATGCATGATTGTGGCTTGACAATGCACATTATCATTTAGAGACTGCAAATGGAACAGATACCTGCTGTCTTCAGATGGCTGGAAATAGAGTAATTAGGGTAAAGGAAAGACCAACAGATAACAGATGTGGATGTCAACCACTCATTAATCTTTATTCTGGCAACAATGTCATGATGGCAATGGCCAAGGTTGAAAAAATAACTTGTATCATTCAGCACACCAAATAATACAGAGAGAGAAGAATTAACACCTCTTTTACACAGTCTCAACAAAAACTGAACAAAAACTGAGCAACATATAAACAACATTTACAATAAACACTACTTTTCAGAAGAAAATATCCTGTAGAGCTATTGTATTAGACTGCATTACCTTGTACAGGAGTCGCTGTTATGACGTTCCTGCTCATTCTACAGAGTCTCAGTGACGTCCTTATCTCTACTCATAAGAATAGTTTCTGCCGTGCTGAGGTGAGTGATGCACATCAGTTCAAGGCAATGGCCCATTCACATTTTTTACCCCCTGGTGCTGTGTGATCTATTCATTCCTCTGTTTGTTCTCAATGGCCATGTGAGCAGACAACTACGCGCTTTCAAGTCCGATCAATTACATCCTGACCGTGCAGCACAAGTCAATCACACTAAGCAGCAGCCTGCTCTGTAGCCTGTAGATCATGGAAGAAAAGAGGAGTGAATACAGGGTCATGTGAAAAAGAGCCTGACTGAACTGAGTGAAGAAAACAGGATGAGGAAGAGGTGCAAATGCTGGAGCTTTAAGATCTCCGTCTTGTTTCCTTGGTCAATAACTGGTTAAAAAGAGTGACCTCATGATTAGAGTCCTTGTAATTTGCTAAAAGAACATCTGCTTGGTCACTCTCGGACAAAACATGTACTGAAAAATAATTATGTTGGATTTACAACACAATAATGAAGATGATATTAAATCACACGATCTCCTTAACCACAGAAACATGACACATTAAGATTCTGATCATGATCAAAATCATGGTTTTCGTTCGTGGTTTGTGAGACAGAGTAGGAGATGGTCTCGTTAAACCATCTTGATGTCAGAAAATTCTACACTGAGTGAATCTGAAAACCACAGATCGGGCGCTCACGTCATCTGATGCTCGAACTTTCAAAGAAACACTGCACAGACAGCAATAACAAAACATGACCACTTGAGCAAACACTTCCTGAGTTGTGTTTAGTATGACACAGGTTTGGTGATGACTGACAATCAGTCATTGTAGAAGTTCCGTCACAGATGAAATCTTGTCTAACCTGTGGGTTATCATAGCATCAAAATGATTCCACTATGAGATGCTGATAAGTAGTTATTGCCCAATCTATATATGACCCATTCATACAAGACTGTTATTACAGCTGTTATTTGCTATTATAAAAATGTATAGGGCAGACCAGAATCCAAGCCCCGCTAAACTGAAACCAACAATTCAGCTGCATGTTTCAACTACATTGAAAGTGAATTGCTTCTGCTCTGTTGACGTGGTGCTTACGGTACGGTGTAGACAGGAACAGCATCACACACACACACACACACACACACACACACACACACACACACACACACACACACACACACACACACACACACACACACACACACACACACACACACACACACACACACACACACACACACACACACACACACACACACACACACACACGGTCATAAAAACAGAGCAGAGTTGCAAGATGTTGAGATTACCCTGCGTAGAGGGGCTGAGACCAGGCCACCTGCTACAGGAAGTGAAGAAGGTCTGATAGGAGAAATCCCCAGTGACTTGAGCTGATGGTGTAGTCAAGTTGAAGGTGATGTATTGGCCTAATAGTGGTAATTAACTCTAGGTGTCAGGGATGCTAGCTCTGCCAGGTGAGCTACCAGGGCGGCCCTGACAAAGAATTGTCTGAAACTCTTTAAAATCAAAAGAGTAAAACTTTTACCATTAGGGCTGGCACAGCATTACAGTGTAGCTACATTTTTTATATTGCTGCGCATCACATTAGCACTAACCCACGCAATTATACTTTTATTTGAATATTTGTGAATATAAATTTATATTTTTGGCTGTCTAAGGCAATAATGGATTAGTCAAATATACACACTATTAGCTTAATATCCATAAGACACTCAACACAAACACCATACATATAACTGTACAATACTTCAGAGTCCCAGGGCTGATGGGACATTTTGTTAGCTCATGTGTGAAACTCCTGTGGGTAGTTCAACGGTTTACAGCCCTCAATCTAAAGGCCACTGCCTACTGTAAGTAATAAACAGCATGTTTGTAATGGAACATTCTCAGCCACCGCGTATGAACGAGTGCACTGTGCACTGTGCAGAAAGTTACTGTTTGCAAGCTATAGTCTAAAGTGTTTGCGAGTGTATTTGTGAGTTTGTATTAACTTACTGGTTTCCAGATTGCATAGGGCAGTGTATGCTGTAACCAGCCTGCTGAGGGTAGGGTCCCCAGGAACCAGAGGAGGCGTATATTGAACTCTAAAACAAAACAAAATGAAAATCTGTCACACTACAAAAAAAAAAACAGCATTGAAATATAACACTAAACCATGCAATAGAGCTTTCTCATAATATTAAAACCCTCCAGTGATGAATGTTGTGCCAAAATTACAGCAGAAATTACTCATATTAAACTTTATTTGTTGTCTTATTATCTTATATTTAGCACAAGAGAATGCTATCACCACCACAACACCAGTGCATTTTCCCATGTGCTATAGTATTAAACTATGTATAGGATATTCATATCAACATCAATCCACATCTTTGCTCTACAGGGTCTGTGGAACTACAAACTACATGTAACTGATGATAGAGCAACTCTGACTCATCTAACTTTTTTCAGTGTAATTGTAGAAGCCCTTAAATGGACTGTTTAGCCAAATAACTATACATTTTTTGACCAATCATCTCTTCTGGGCAGATAGTTTCAGTTTCAATTAGCTGAGGTTTTGAGAAATTCTTTTGAAATTCTGTGGTAACTCCACTATGGAATTTCTGAAATTTTATTAGGTGGTGTTCAAGGACTATTGAGACAATTTCTTTGGAAGAGATTACTTCCTATTAATATAACTGGGTTTATCCAAATGTAATTTTTCAATACCAATTTCTCTAGATAGATAGATAGATAGATACTCTATTTATCCCGAGGGAAATTTAAGAATGTCTATGTAACAATTCCCAATTCTGGAAAACTAACACTTCCTTTCTCATACATTTCTAGATGACGATGATGATGATGTTCCACCATACAGAAGACACATACACCAGTGCTCTGATGTCTAACAGTAAATATGAGTCTTTAGGTTTATGCAGCTGTACATAAAGGCTAAAGAGTGTCTTTACCCATGATGCAGGACATAAGGTAGCAGGGAAAATGTAAAGAAGGAGCCAATATTTTCAACCTAGCTTAACTTTGTCATTCAATACTGCTCTGGCCAACACTCCAGTGTAAGAATGCCATGTCCTGTATACTTAAATGTATGCAGTTATGCCTAACACTTTTCTGAGAATTCTCTATTAATGTTTTCAACAAAATGCTGCACTTATCCCATACCAAGAGCATGTCAAGGTATGGTAAACTTTAAAATACTGAAACAGTAAATTATCTGACCTCTGTAAAAGTGAGCTAATGCAAAAAACACATAGTACAGACATGAACAGGACTGTTAGGAAAAAAACAATTAAATATGAACCTGACGTCTAAATAAATGCTAATAAAATCCCACAGCATACCTGCATGTTAGGGGTCACAGAGAACAAGCTGCTGTCCAGCTGAGGGCCTTCTGGATGCAGGTAGTTCTCCCCGTCCATGGCCAGCGCTGAGGGGAGGATGGGCATCAGACCGCAGCTTCACACATGACCACCAGCTGACTTAGGCTATGCACCCTCCAACCGCTACCCACGTGCTGGCTGTGTCCGAGATCGTACTTCTAACAAGGGCAAATGCTCTCCATGACCTGAGGACAGGAGAAGACAGATATAGAGGGATGTAGAGGGGAGGGAGAGAAGGGCAAAGAGACATTAGAAGAAAATTTCATCCAGAAAACATGGTGATCAATATCACATCAAAACAAGTCATTGAAGTCTAGGCGAATGCTAGACTTTGTTGTTTTATAAACCCCATGTAAGAAAAACATAAATAAGAAGTCTTAGAAATCATAATAAGTCAGCCATAGACACAAAAATACGAACGGTCTGTGTGAAAATAAAGAATAAAATGAGAATAAATCAATAACTTGTATCATATGAAGCAAATTAGACAAATAATTGGTCTTCCTTTTTCGAGGCAGATTCTAGTTGTCTTTGTCGCCACACAAACTGAATTCAGATCTTATTCATAATGCAGTGAGCTTATATCTGTTGATTGACAGCCCTCATTAGCTGGTTGTCATCTGACATCACTCACGTTTCACAGAGGACCAATTAAAATCATGGCAGGAGATCCACAAGAGAGCGAACGGGTCTATTTTTGGGGATAGCAACTGATTATAAAGTTATAATATTTGACATAATATCCAGTCAGTATTATGACTGGCCAAACCTACTCCTTATTGGTGCAGATTGTTTTATTTTGTGTAAGTTGTAACTTATTTTCAAAATCATAAGCAACAGGCAGCCTAAACCCCTTTCTGTCACAAACAGCTGTCTGTCTATCTGCATCTGTGTGTGTGTCACAGTTACCGCTAGTCACACAAAGCAAGATGTATGTGTCCAACATAATGACAGGTTAGACTGGCTAGACCAGACAGTCTGGACAAAGGCAGAAGGCTTCCTCCAATGACACACACACACACACACACACACACACACACACACACACACACACACACACACACACACACACACACACACACACACACACACACACACACACACACACACACACACACACACACACACACACACACACACACACACACACACACTTTTTGTTTACATTTACATTACAGATTTCCCCCTACTCCTTCTGTCTGAATAAATTAGACACAGTTTGCTATAATTGGGAAACTGACCGCAATGACCTACTTTTCTCTGATATGATTTCACACAGAAACCAAATAAGTCAGAGTAAAAAGCTTGTATGTCTGCTGCCCAACACAAAGGCTTTATAACAGCACAAACTTGGAATAATGTGTATGAAGTCAGCTTTAGTGCACTATCCTAGTATAGGTGCTAGTATAGATTTGTGGGATATGTATGTGTGCATATACATATATGCACTGTGTGCAAATAACTGAATTGTATGTTACTTCCAGAGTGAAAGCTTAAAAATATCCCACAAATCTCCCCAGTTTCACTGCTGAATCAATCCAATCTCTCGGCCCTCCACAATGCATGTCTGTGTAACGTCAGTAACACTCCCCTGCCCCAAACTAATCAAACCGTTACCTTCCTTCCCCTCTTCCTTCCTTCATTCTTTCCTCCAGTTTGCCCCCAATCTGGAACAGGCCAGACGTGTTCGCTGGGGACAAAGCTGAGGTAATAAATCCTAATAGAGTTTATGAGGCTCTAAATAAGAGGGCCTTTGTGTGTCTGAGTGTGTGCATGTGAGTGACTGTGTATGAGAAAGAGACAGAGACTTGACCCAACATATTCACCACTCGCACAGCCAATACACACAAAGGAGGCCATTTTATCCTCAGGCTGTCAGTGTGATACTGTCTGGATAAAGGTGAAGCAAATGTGGGGAAGCCGCAAAGAACCAACTGGCAAACTTTCTAGGCAGGAGGTCTTAGGCAAAAGGATATTAGATATTTTCTGAATATGTATGGACAGCTTCCAGCCTCTGGGGGCCAGATGAAGGCAGGGACAGAAAAGCAAGTCAGCTTGAGTGTGTATTGGGAGCCTCATGAGGCCGTCTGGTGTTGCAGAATTGTGCTCAATGCAACACCCTAAGGACGCCCAAAGCTTCGATGCATCAAAGGTTCTTAGGCATCTTGCCAGTACATCTGGGTCAAAGGTCTTGATATATTCCAATACCTCTTTCACCCAAACATGCAGGCTACAGGTGACAAAGGTCAAATGTACATTTGTATTCAATCTGAATGGTTTAATGTTTAATGAGTTTGACACTGTTCAACATTTAAGTAATAGACACCAACTGCTATAAAAAAGTACAGAGAGGAAGAAAACTAGAGCAAGAGAAAGAGAAAGCCTGCATGTAAGTGGGTGAGCAAGAGAGAGAAACCAAACTGAAACTTAATTTTGTTGTAATATAATTCAGTGTTATTCTGTTGAATTCTGTGGTTCACATATGTATGAAACTATAGTTGTAGAGTCAACTCTCTGAATGATTACACCCTGGGGTTATTCTGTTCTAAGTTTCCAGTATGAAAGATAAAAGAAAAGCTCAGGCATATATCAGTGCATGTGACAGCCAGAATACAAACATGCCCAGTAATACAGTAGTAGTAGTAGTATACATTACTCAGCCGAAGGATCATTAAGACTGGCAGTTATAAACACTCCTAGTTCTCCTGATTAGCCTCAGCCGAAATGTGCTGTCATGCCATAACCCTCTTCATCCTCAAACCCTAGCCAACCACCATTGCATCTTCTTATTTCTCCAAAAAGATGAAATTGTAAGAATAAATGTCTTACCATAATCCCCTGCTAACCCCCGTTCACCCTACCATCTGTAGCCAAGTCACCCACCAGTACCATGCAAGTTACTGTGACTATGCAACAGAAAAATGTCTGTCCCCTGTTCCCTAACCCCCACCCCCTCCAACGAGCCTCTGAGGATAATCGATACTGATCATTGTAAGAGTGGTCCCAGATATCTCCTTCCTGTAAGGCCTCTCATTACCAAAAAACAGCAAAACCCCCTACTACTGCTAACCCCTGCGTAGCGGAAAAGGGAGGTGATGAAGAAAAGCTATCAGTAAGGAAAAGAAGGTTGGAGATAAGGGAGACAGAAAACAAAAGAGAAAAGAGAAAACATGCCCACAGCAGCACAAGAGACAAGGAGTTCATTCATCAAAAAGAAAAAACACACAAGTCATTTTTATAACCCTGCTTGGTTATTCAAAAATGTGTTTACATTGTCATTATCTGGATTTATAGTGCGTATGAAGACTGCTAAGCAAAATGTGTATGTCCTATATGTTGAAGAGGATAAGGCCATTTCAAAATTCACACACAAAACCTCTGTTATAAAGCAGTACAGCGAGAGAGAGGAAGAGAGTGGCTCTTTTGCAGTGTAATCTGTTAAATCTGTTAATTACTTCAAAGGTTACTGCTGGTTTTTGTACAACCCCCTCCCATGTGTCTCCCCCCAGCTGTCTCTCTCTCTCTCTCTCTCTCTCTCTCTCTCTCTCTCTCTCTCTCTCTCTCTCTCTATCTCTCTCTCTCTCTCACTCTGTGGGTGGGCCTGGTGCAAAAGCTCACTGCAAGGGAGATTAGGCCATTTCATGGGCAGTAATGGTAAAATCTAAAAACTGAAACAAGCCCATACACTATATGCTGAACATGCCAAAATACACACCGATTCATCTGGGATGAAGGACTGTAAACATGGAGATTTAGTGATGTTAGAAACTGTATTTTCAGCCATGTGGCTCAATTCTAGGTCAGTTGGTTCCCTTTGGCTGCATGAGTCACTGTGCCTGTCAGCCAGACAGAGGTTAACAAGCAGCATGCCTCTGTCACTTCAAAAACACAAGATGTGTGTTTATGTTGCTAGTTACAGCATCCAGCATTTGCTTGTCATGTTAGGATATAAAATGCAGTCTGTGGTAGGAAAGACTTCCTAGATGTATGCTGGTAGCCTTTATTTGGTATCCGTGGCGGCCATAGCACATGGGGATCATCCAGGGAAGTGTGACTTCCTTAAGCTACTAAGTCACGATTAACGCTCACGAGGAGAACCACCCTGCCTGTCGCGTGTGCCATAACCCCCACATATGCACACTCACATGTGGAGCGTTGATATATAAACATATTTCCACATACAACTGAATCATTTCTGTATGTGTAACATGTATGTGTAATGACCATTGTACAAGAGTTAATTTACCATGTAGATATTTAGGTTATATAAAGTCACAAAAAGACATATATACATTGGCTATAAAGTATAATATGCTTGCAGTGGCAAATGTAGTGCTTCATGGAAATATACTGCTGAATTTCTGCTAAGGTTAAGACAGAAGCACAATCACTGTAGTTTATAGTATATTATAACTGTGTGGGGTACAACTGTGGCCTCATCACCTCTCACATGTGTTCCCTTTACTTCCAGTGACCAGTCACACTCATCTCATCGTCAAACTAAATCCTTCTTAAGGTACTGAGAAAATCCTTCAACACACAGCTCTGCTTCATCTTCATTAACCGCATTCTCAAAATCAGCTCAATGTGGCATACGGGGCAGGGCATTCACCGTGGATGCATTTTAGCCACATTTCTCAATTCCATTTTAGCAAATTCCGCTATCTACATTGGCTGCATGACAGTTTGCACTGAGTTGTGTATGAGTCTATGACTGGAAAGGCCAGGAAAAAGCAATCGCAGACAAAAAAGTACATACAGTATGGGGTTAAAAAGTAAGAGAGGTGCACTTCAATGCACATGCATGTACAGTGAGAGTGCATTCACAGTACACCAAACCTTCTTATGTGACAGTCATCTGCTGGCATCTCTCTCCCCTGCCATAGCCTGCATCTGTCTTCACTGCTAACAAGCCGGCTGACGGTGATCATTCAATCCAATGTACAACACTCACTCATCACCAATGTGAGTCCATCAGCATCACCAGTAATCAGGTTAGAAATGATCAGGGCCCAGCTGCCCTACACCAGAGCAGCAAGGGGGCCGTTAGTTGGTTATGATTGCCTAGACCGGCTGGATTCATTAGCTACTGTGATTAAATATTCATAAAAGGAACAAGTTACTTCCCAGGGAAACGCAGGGCTTGGTCATTCAAAACAGCTTACATTATTAATCAGCACCTTTTTTCGCCACAAAAGGCCTATACTTACCTCTGTGTGCACATGCATGCACACACACAGACACACACATGGCAGAAACCCTTAAGCACATACATGGAAGGCATTAGCTACCAATCTGTTCCTGGTCCCCTCCCCACAAAACAGACATTGGCACAAAGGGGCTGTGAACAGCCCAGTGACCGGGTAGAACACTGGATAGAGAATAATGATCAAATGACTGTGTAACTGAATCTGCTGTCTTATCAAAAGCCGGGAAATGGAAACAAATTGGGTTTTAAGAGCCTGTTGTTATTGCATTTCGCCCGTTCAAATATTTATCAAAGAGGCTCTCTGGACTGGGACAGGACACAGGAATACATTGAACAAATGGGCAGTCATTTGAATGATTTGGTGTGACTGAAAGGCAGAGTTCAAAGATTTAGCTACTTACAAAGGGATAACGATTCATCTTAATTAGATTCTCATCAACCCACTCCAAGTGGCTATTCGGCACTATTTTGCCATGATGATGAATATCTCTGTGCCCACAAACACCAGCTGAATGAGACATTAAAGCGGTTTATCCATTAAGGGGAAACTTAATCAAGCTCTCATGGCTGAGAGGATGCCTTTGTTGTGGTAAATAAAAAAAGAGACATGGTGGGAGAGAGGACCAGGGAGCAAAGAGGAAAGAAAGGTAAAGGCAGAGAAGAGTTTGACAATGAATATCAGAGCAGAGTGGTGTGAAGAGCAGAGAAGTAGGGAAAGATCAAAAACAATGGTTTGCTGTGACTTGATGACTCATTTAGGAGCAAATCCTCCTACTTATACCACCACCAGCACCCACTAGAAATAGATCAAAGACTTGACTAGATCAGAGAGAGAACGATCCACTCAGCTGCCTCTTCGCCCTGTTTTCCTCTGTCATCTAATTTCCTCAGAAAAGAAGTATGATGACACATGCTAGCTGTGTGCACCTCTCCACCCTTTTATTGCTCCGGTTCACCTAGTAAGGTGAACAGACAGTAGCTGATTTTACCTAATCTAATTTGTATAGTCGAGAAAGGTGTATCATGTATTTTGTTTTTTGCGCGGGATTTGGGATGAGATTTCTCTAGATATACAAAGTGTGTGTATTTTCATCGTCGTATCAGTGTCGGCTGATGTACAGTGCAATTTCTGACATTTGAGTTTGTGCAACAAACAATGAGCGAAAATAAGTCAGATGTGACGTACTAACCTAAAGAGGGGAGATATACTGTATGCTGTGTTTGATAATCACAGCTCCATCTTATTTTTTTTTGTGGGGGTCACAAATACAACAAGACATGTTATCATGAGTGTTTATATATTACATTATCAGAAATAATTAATAAAAAACTGAATTACAAAATGTGCACCTTTCTCAGTAAATGCAATGCTGCCTCTTAAAGTACAAACAAAAACTCCTCCATTCTCTCAATTTCTTGTGGCAGAGTTTTGCTTTTTCTCTCTGCATCAGATCCTTCCCACCTTTGAGCGGTAGTAGTCTACTCATATCAGTCCTTTCGACTATCAAAACGTGGACCATCGCCTCCTCCATTTCTGTCACCCTCCCACTCAACACTGTCTCCGATCCAATAATCTCTCAGTGATATTGCCAACTTCCCCATTTCACTATCCCTCTTTCTTCTTCCTAGCGATAGGCTTTTTTTTCCTCCTATTTCCATCGCTATCCATCTCTTGCCATGTGCTAGTTCACTATATGTCTCTATGTCCCCATTTTCCTCATGTTCATTCATCTTTCTCCCTCCCTGCTGTCAGAGCAAGCCGGTGGCGTTGGTTGTTGCCTCTCACCCAGTCTGACCCTCAGATGGATCCTGCTGCCGATTGGAGCCAGCTGGTTTCCTGACTCTGAATCTCCACCCACCCCTCTCGGTCGTGGTTATTCAGAGAGTCAGTCATAACACCAGGCCAAAGCTATCAGATGCACATTTCACAAGCAAACAACATAGCACAGGGAAGCAAAATCTGGACTGCTGAACTGGAGTGCATGATACAAGACAGTGCAGTTTTAAAAAATGCACCGGGAGAGTATTCATTGCTGTTGTGATCTCACGAACTAAAACTGTATATCGGATTGCAAATAGGAGACTTTTTCAAGCACCTAATGGAGCTTCTCCTGACATGGGAACTGGAGAATACCTGTGTCTCGGAATCTAAATAGCTTTTACTCCTTACAAAATTTTGAGAGTAAAAGTAACATTCTCTAAAAAAGTTGCAACGTTTTCTGAACTCTGCCCTATCCTTGTTCAAATCCAGACAACACTCTACTCCACTCAGATTGACCTCACTTCTCTGGCAGGCGTGAGAATATAGCACCACATGCACAGCGCCAGGGAGCCTGTCTGTGTCTGTCTGTGCCACTTTCCTATGCTAATGCCAGTTCAGTTCAGTTCAGTTCTGTCGGCTATCCACTGCGGCTTCTGTCATACTCTTGAACAATAACACCACTGCAAGCAAGTAAACCATGCAGAAAATTAGTCAGACAGGCACAATCCATTCTCGAAAAATGATGCAAAAGGGATTAGGTGATTGACTTGCCAGCTGTTTTCTAGTTTGCTATACTGGGTCAATAACTCTTCTAAGTGAAAGCACTGTTCTGATGACAAGACAGATAATTTTATCAGGGTAATGTGACATCTTCCAACAAAATGTCCTCTGTTATTCGAATCATGGTACTGCAGACTGTATAGACCCACTCAAGAGTTTTGGTGTTTGCTGTGTTTGACCTGTTGAAGCCCTGCCTGATTGTTCCTAATATGAAGTTGAGCTTTTTACCCTGGGGCTAGAAATATGTGTGCATAGTGTGTGAATATTTCTACTACATAGTACTTGCGTGTAGATGTATGTATTATTTTTGCTCTTTGACCATTTATAGTATGTCTGCCGACAAGTAACTGCAATAGAGAAATGCCAAAAAAAGAAATAGTAATGTTTGTCCACCAGAAAGCAGTTTTAAAATCCTCAAAAAACTAATGGTTAACTCTATATATATTAGTTTTTTTCTGTGTGTGTGTGTGTATTTTCTGTCCTTGATGAACAAATTAAAAGTATCCCATATGATGGCACTCTATGTGGGGCATATGTTGTACATGGAAGAGAGCAACTGAAACTGCTGTTTTTCTCATCTACAACAGTGAATTAAGGATTTATTTCAAGCAAACCAGAGTTGGTGATTGTTGTTGGAACAGTGGAAAGACTAACAGAGATGGTTTTAGTGAGTTTTATTTTGTTTCTGTCCACTTTGGATGAAGTTATGATGATATGCGAGGTAAAATTACAGTTTTTGTCAATAGCGTCGAAAATGATAGTGATGTTACAGCTGTTTCTGGTTAAACAAAAGGTCTATCACAATGTGGATCCTTTCCATAATGTTGTCACACACTTAGAAATTAACAGTCTGAGCCTGTCCGTGTTAAATACACATTTGTCCCCAAGGATTAGCTAACGTTATATATGGCATATATGTATTTTCTCATCTAATTTGGTGGATTAAGGGTTTATTTTGACCTAACCAGAGTTTGTGGTTGTTAGAAAGGCAGTGGAAAGACTAACAAACATGGCCTTGGTGAGTTTTATTTTGTTTTTTCAAGTTTGAAATGTGTTGTCCACTTATCTGCTTGGTAATGCCTGGTGTATGGTTTTGTTTATGGAGCCTGATCAGCTGTAGTGGCCATTGTTTTGGTCGGAGATGCTGGTGCTCTTGTGCAACATCTGTGGCAAGTAAATTTTGTATGTGCTTAAATAAGAAATAAATCTCAGGCGCCATTTAAACTAAAATATTAATTCCTGTATTGCCTGTCTGGCTCTTTAAGTAAACAATATCACTTTTACAACTTATCTTAATTCCAGTGTAGTACTGCATTATCCTACTTTGTCCTGAACTCTGTTCTCTAGAAAAAGTCTTGTAATGCTTGCCAGCACCTATTCTCCTGTGGCTCAAATCCATTTAATCTTCTCACAAATCCCCCCCCTCCAACACTGTCTCACTAACTGAAGGATGGGTTGAAGACAAGAAACAAACTGTTGCCTCACTTGAAAAAATGAAACAAAAAACACATAAATCCAATTGGACCGTGTCGTGTGAGATTAAATGAACCATTCTTTAAGGACAAAGGTAAGTTAAGATTGCCAACAGTGCAAATATATACAAGGCAGGGCCTTAACTGTCAATGGGCAGGACGAAGCAGGTGCCACTGAATTGGCCTGGAGACGCTGTGGCTGACCAATAACGACAGACTAACGTTTGTTCTTTTCTGACAAACAAGATATTTTCTGTCTTGAATGACAAATTTAAATATCCTATGGATAAATTCAATGTGAGCCATTCAGAAAACAAGAATGGCAAATATTTACTAATATATTCCCAACTGACTAGAATTCACCAAACCATGGGCCTTAGGATGTCCTGTAACATGTTTGTAAAAGGACAATTTAGACACATAGGCTACAGAAATATAACTGCATTTTAAAGAAGCAAATCAAAATACTTAAAAGTAAGGGTTATGAAAATTAACTGGCAAATGCATTTTCCTCAATTAGAGCATGCTTTGTGCATGGTGTGGTGATCATATCTGCTGACAGTGTGCCCTCACACCAGGTAGAGATCCCGGTAGCCAGGGATAATATGGCTCTGCTTAACTGCTGTTAAAGTAAACTGATTTCCTCAACATTTAGCTGTGGGCTACAGACTTGTTTTTAAGCACCGACCTAACAAAGCACTTGCTTTGGTTATATGTTTTTTTCCCCACTCTGAACATGACTGTACAAAGCAGAGAAAAGAGCAAGTATCTCTCATCATGTCGCACATAGTTCTGCAGTTAAATTATTTTTTCTTACAGATCCCCTCCACTCAAAAATGTATCTTGTATCTGTGCAAAGTTTGTCACTAGATAGATGTTGTCCCATTCCTCTACTGAAGGGGGAGATGTCTGTAGACTTCCCTAAAATCTCAGATTCAAACGTATGCCGGGCATGCTAGATTTGGTACGTAACAAATTTGAACGCCAGTCACTGTCTACCAAACGCCATCTGCAAAGAAACCTGAAACCTTAAGCACAGAGCGGACTTTTGATAGCAAACATGGTAGATTGTGCCGTTTTTGGAGGTAAACTGGACCCTGGCGCTTCCTCTACTATGTAATAACAATGTGACAATATGAACAAACTGTAACACTGTGTATATATATTATTGTATATTTCACTAACTGTCAGCCACAAGCTAACAACCAATATAAACAAATAAAAGATACTAACTACACTGACCATTACGATACATTATGATGCTGACTGTGGTGCACAATAGACTCCTCATTTGATTCTGGGCCTGACTGAGACTTAAACATGTAGGCTATGGCTGAATCTCTCCAGTGTTTGCTAACACTAGCCATCTTGATTCATACTGCTCTTTCACTAGTCAATTTAACCCAAGCAGCTGTGGTGGGTGGGGAATTCATATATTTAGAATTTCTTAATGAGGGAGAAATAGAAGATGTGCTTCAAGTCCCTTTTCAAAGCTTTTATAAAAAAAATGTGTGTGGGAAATAATAAAATATTGGGAATAAACAAAATATGAATCATAGAGTATACTCTAATATCTGGAGTGGAAATGTAAACAATTGAACCTACAGTATTTCCAAAAATAAGGATCTAAAGGTTATGTGTATAAAAGCTTTTTTGATCATTCTGAAAAGATGGGAGCTTGCTAATTTGCAAATATCTACATAAAAATGTATCCTCTATTACATAACTACCACTAATACGTTCAACACAGAACAATCATCAGGGGGAACAGGTCGCATGTTCATTGACATCTATATCAATAACCAACACTGAGATCAGGGTCGACCTAGCGTGTGTAACAGATTGCCCAGTTAAACAGGGTCAACATGAGACAACACATTAGATGTTCTTATCTTGCGTAAATGGCCTAACACAAGACTATCTTGGGTCATCAAGTGTCCCGTGCAGGCAGGACAGCCTTGGGAAACATGTTGATCACGAGTCTTGGCGTGTAAAATGTGGTATATGAGACCACCGTACTACATATGTTACTCCAAACATTTTACAGTCCAGGTCATGTGTCAGCCTTCAAATAACACAGTTTTTCCTTCCCCGTTTTTGGGCCAGGTTATAAATCTGATAACTCAAACATGTGGACCATTTCTCTCATTTCTCCTTCCTGGATGAGTCCAATTTCGAAATCGCTGTTTGCTTTTCTAACGATGTTGACACACTTTTTCCAGAGATCACCATAAGGAAAAGCAGCGAGGAATCCCACAGTGTGGCATACTCTCTTGCATTTCAGTCAAACCTATTACACAGCTCTTATGTGGCTTGGGAGAGATCCACATAGCCTCCAGGTCTGGATACTAGTTGAGATATGGGCTACTCAAACAGCCCATTGTAAAGGACCTGTTTGTTTGTCACCGTGTAGAGTGAACACAATGGCCATATGTTCCCCACAACTGTCACTTGTTCTTTCATTCTCTTCTGACCAAATATCCATGTTATGTTTAACACATGAACTATTATCTAATGAAGGCCAGATTCCAGGAAAGCAGGAACTGAATCTAACGTATTACCTAGCCCCGATTCCCCTCCTCCACTCCACATTTTTCACTCTCACTCTAATCAGCCCATGGTCCATAAATGAGATTTATCACTGGCACCAATTGGGGAGGGGAGAAAGAACGGGCAAGCAAAGATGAACGGAGATGGAGAATGGAGGCCAAGTCACAGAGAGCAGAGGGCATGAGCCACAGTTGAGCCATGGATCACAGCTGTTTGAGCTCACTCTAGTGATATTAGTTTCAAAAAACTAATATCCCTAACAAAAAAATAGAGCATGCCATTTCCTGGCGATAATTATATGAATGCATTTAAAAAAGGAACCTGGATGACACATTTATGAAAATGAATATTTGTCTTTACACTTTTCAAAGTTACCAGACAAACTTGCTAATCCTGCTTTAAGAAACACCCCCATGTTCTCTGTGTATCATCCTTACAGTTCCTGTAGGCTCTACACTGTATCAACAGATCTGGTGTGTTGTGACCCTCAGAGTCCCTGCAGGGCAGACAGCCATCAATTGTCTGACACAGTGAGAAATTATAAAAAGGGAGCTGTGTGGCAGAAACATGCAACTTAACTCTCACACACATGCACGAACAAATACTAGCACTGTTCAGAAATTACTTTTACTATGACATTTGCACATATACTTAAAATATTACATGGCATGCTTGTTTGTCTTGACAAAATCTATGCGTGAAATAAGTCTTCTGTGAATGACTATTATTTTGGTTACACCAAAAGAAATAAGGACACAAAGAGAGTACTATCCGACCAAGCCATTTCCCTGCCTGTAGGGTTTTCTCTGAGAACAGGCATCTAATAATCATGAAGTTTTAGTACTCTAGGTTTTGGACAGGTGAAACAACAAAAGGAGCATGGAGTTGTGGCTTTAGCCTGTATTTCAGATTGACAATCCAAATGCACAATCCAAACCAGCCTGACTGTTGCTATTAAACCCTGTATTGGGAGGGAGAAAGAGACATAACTGCGAGAGGGATATGACAGCAAATGACACCAAGGCCATTGACCACTTGGGGTTAAGGGCCCTCAAGTAAAAGACAGGAACCAAGCACGTCATTCACTTCACAGTTACCGAATAGTATCCCTCTACAAAGGGGGAATGACATAATTAGAAAAATTGCCCGCCACCATAGCAACATAGTATGTCAAGGCTTGCGTGCGGCCTGACCAGCCTTGGCTGCAGGCATTATACACACTGGAAACTAAAGGGTGAAAATTGCAGGAAAGAAAAAGAACTAGAGGGGACAGCTTTGTGAGAGCTATTTTCATTTCCTCCTGGTAACTCCTCCAGTTTTCTGATTCACCCCCAGTATTTCCCAGTATGTCTGGTTTCTGTCACACATTCAAGCCAATATTTTTAGATCATATCCTTTTTTTTAATTACTATCTTATGACACAAAAACTATGAAATTCAAGAAAACACCAGTGACCATTTTTAGCTCTTATTGGGTAATTGTCACTTTATACTGGGCCACTTCTTTCTCGATGAGCATTTAATTATTAAACTGATACGCAGCTCCAACATCGTATACTTCAATGAATCTTTGGGAAACATATTACATACAGCTATCATTACACCACTGACTGCGTAGCCGACCAAAGTTTATTACTGCTATGAATGCCTACAACTACGATGCTGATTGTAACTTTTCCTGTCTCGTTTAAAAGGAAAAGTTAAAATCTTTTTTTGTCGTTTTTCATTTATGAATGCAGTTGCACACATACGGGGCTATATCTCCGAAAGCTTTGTGAAAACTATGTTAATTCCCAACTTATATTAAATAAGATTATACTAAAACGGTGCAATCGCTTTCCACGTTAGCTAATATTTCTTCGTGTTTGCGTATGTGCATACAGCGTTAATCGTAGGGACTTTCGTGTAACGTTTTCGTACAATCAATACAATAGTAAGCCGAAATGTGTCTTCCTTTGGAGAGAGGCACATAGGTCTCAGAGCACAAAGGAGGGCTAACTCTACGTTAGTGTTACTGCCACTAATGTTAGCTTAACGAACGACACACGATACATTTAACAAGAGCTAGCAGGGAAGCAAACGTTTGCTACAAAGTATTTCTGATTTGCCCACTTCACTTTCTCGAACTACAACAATGGATGGCAAAATAAAGCAAGATCCCACACTAGATTGCTAAAACAAGACATACTTCGGATAGCTAATTGTGCTAGCTAGGTTAGCATAGCTCATAGTCGTTTTTCTCACTTTGGGTATGTTCGTTTTGTCCATTGCCTGCGTATGTTAATGGAGTAACGAAGCTATCTACTTTGCTGAATAAAATCTTCCGATTATGTTGTGTCCCCATGGTGGACCATTTTAGTTTACGTACGAGCACATGAAGGTGGATGTTACTCTTTTAAAAGTAAAGTGTAGCACGGATTTATTTGAGAGACATTACTCGCTGGTTAGCTTCTATCAAAGCAATAGCTTATCACTAAGTACTAGCAGGCTAGCTTTGTTAGCTGCTGGCCTTTTCTTGACGGTGGCGTAGTGATGCCGAGTTATCAATGGCAATACGTCTCTTAAATTTGCCACGGCTAGCCTAACTTCCTCTGGTCTCAACTCGGACCAAGTTTACCGATAACGTCTCCTATGATAACGTTTAACTCAATGCAGCTGCTCAAGAACCGGCGTAGCCCGTCGTTAAAAACGTGCGCGCCTAGGAGAGGCTGCCTCGAACGCATCTTGTTATAAGGCAACTGCCGATGTGTCGCTTAGCTTCTCACTAAATCCTCCAATTACACTTACCGTGAACGTGTTACTTATTCTCAATCCAAACCCCGGGCAAACGGGCGACTTTTGAACGAAGACTCGCGTCAAAGTAACAGAAATAAGGAATTTTATCCAACTTATTCTTCTTAGTTGTTTTCTCCACTTCCTGATTGAGACGGTGCCATTTTGAATAGCGAAAAAATATTTCCGCCGCTGTCGTCACGCGTAATGCCGCTTGACGATCGCGAGCAGCAAACAGCCAGGCCTTAAATAGTTCATCATAGTGCTGGTTGGCACACTTGAACCAATGCTTCAGGTTAGAATAAATACATTAAAATGACGGTAGATGAGACAATAAAATAGCCAGTGAGAGCTCAGTTATTGGCTTTAATGTCATCGTATTAAATAATAATAACCTAATAATAACAATAAGCTCAGAAAAGCTTGATGAGTAGCCCAATGTTCATAATTTCTTGTAAAATATAAATCTACGACTTGATGCTATTATTATGTATTTATGTATTGTATGTATTTATTAACCGACATTTTGTAAACTATCTGTGTGCAAACTGAATCTAGGTTGGTTTGTAACAATGATGAAGGCTTTTGAAGTTAATTGAACCATTAAACTCTATCATATCTGAAAATTGAGTCAGGACTTTTCAGACAAATTGTTCTAGGAAAGAGGTCTATAAATAAATGTTCCTCCATGAGACATAACTAATATTAATATTATTGTACCTAAGGCTGCAACACACAAATAAAATTGACTATTTAAGTTGAAAGTCCATTTATATTTGTCTGTTTTTTTTTTTTTTTTTATCGATTTAAGGCTAAATGTTGATGCTGAAGATGTTGTGGTAATTATAATTTTATAACATTTTCAAAATATTCACAGATTCACAGGCAGCTTTTCTTCAGATTGCTTCAGTAAAAACCAACAACAAATGAAAAGCTTAATTTTCATGAATGAATCAGTATATAATTTCTTTCACTAATCATATTCGATTGAGCATATTTGTACTTGCAAGATTTTGCAGCAGATTTCTCTCTCACACTTTAAGAGGCCATGGCCCTAAATTCAGCCCACGATAAGTACCATTGCTGATGCTATAACTATTACTACCACTCCTACTAGTAATCATCGTCAAAGCTGGTGACTAATTAATGTAGGAAAATGCTCACTGGGTAAAATTTCTCAGAAGAGGAACAACTGCATTTCAACATTGCACATCTGCATAAAATAGTATACGCAATACAAATGCACAATAAAAAAATAAATCTATATATATATTTTCTGTATCCTATGGGTGTATGATTCTCTGCACAACCAAAACCAAATTTGTTTCATTATTGTTTCATGCATTGTATTTCATTCAAATCACTTCTCCGCAGACAGTTATTGTATAAAAGCATATTTCATTTTAGATGTTAAATGGAATACATGTTCATCTTCTTCCTGCAGGTCACTGTCTCATTTTGGCATCCATCTGTCCATTTCACGTTATTGAACGACAAAGCTGGAAGAGCTCCAGTTGTTTCCAGCAAACACACACTGCTACTGCCTTCCTGGTATACCATTCCCCCCTTTTCCCAACAAAGGAGGATGGTGGGAAGCAAAGGGGCGGTGTGTGTGTGTGTATGTTGGTGCTCAAATCCGAGGTACAGCTCGTGAAAGATACTGGCAGGGTCGTGTTTTGTCTTCTCTTTCTGATATTGTTGTATTGTCATAATCTCAGCAAGGTGGTGGTTAATGATACAGGATGTAAAAAGGGTATAAATGCATCCTGACACAGTTTAGTTACACCTTTATAATGCATGTAAGCTCATCATTAAGGACAGTTTCAGTTCAGACTAACATTGCCCCTGGTATCTGAATTGGTTCAACACAATAACAGCAGATACCTGTGATGTACTAATCTCTAACACAATGAAACAATTCTGATAACATTTTAAATAAAAACTATAGCCTGATGTTAAATTTCCAAAGTAATTGGTAAGGAGACTGCTCTTTTAGCTTGAATTTGGCGCACCCTACTGGAATCCTACTGCAAACACTTGAAGCGAACTGGATCTTGCTGTCATATCTGTTTGAGCAAAGTAATGGTTGAATATACCAAGTAACGAGCAGTAATCCCAGGGGCTGAACAAATAAAACCATTACCATTACAATGAGGATTTGCTTCCATTGAGAAATTTTGATCATTATTGAGAAATCACTGCATACATATTTCCCACTTCCTGTTAATGTGTTCATTATATGTCACAGCCAGACTGGTCTGCAATAACCTTGTCTGTCTCAGTTTAGATGACAAGCCATAAGGCACGTCAAAGACACTTCCTTTTTGAATCATCCTATAGAAGAAGCAAGCAGTTTGTTACAAAACTCAGTTTTTCATAACTTGATTTATGGGAACTTAACCAATGTGCCTAAATTAAATTATGGGAAATTAACCAAGTGTGTTTTGATACGTGGACATTTTCATATATTCTAGGCCAGGAAGTGTTCTTAACTTTTGCTTGGATGGGAATAATTAAAAGGAGAAAGAATTAAAAGAGCCCACAGAAACAATCGCTTTCCAATTACTGTTGGTGCTTGATTCCCTAAAGAAAATGGAATACGGTCACATTCATGCAGTCCTTACTATAGAGCACACAATGCCCACATTTAATAAAACCCGACATTAAGTACTCTGTAGAACAGGAATGAAAATCAAAGGGTGTTGCTCTATAAAGTGGAATGTGGGCCTTTTCTCTAATGCGACTTATGTAAATCTCTGACAAACCAAATTGTGTAACTTTTCCCCCAAAAGCTCCTTTGTCTCCGCTTCATTATTTTCCCAGTAAAGGCCATGGGTGCCTCAGGCCAGCTGTAATTTGATTAATCCACCGAAAGGATAGCCAGACGGTAAGAGCCTGCTCTGTTTCTTGTTCCGTACTATTCAAAACTGCAGTTCTCATTCAGGATTTTATTTTATGACATTCATATAATTTAATTTGGCTTAAAATATATATTTCATTTGTTCCCATTTTCATAAATATATTGATGTCTTGACATAGCTTGAATGATGATGTGATCAAATATTAGTGTTACTATTGCTGGAGCAGACTTAAAACTGATTGTATTTTCAGCAGTGCTGTGGATTCTGTAGGGAGGAAGGCTCGACAGCTTTTGAAGAGATGGAGACCCTTGTCTTTTTATTTTCATTTTCTGCCCTTGGCGTTCTTTATGCCATGAACACCATTCCTGAATTTCAAGAGTAAGTCTTAACGTTTACAGTTTTTTTATCGCTTAGTTCGATCTAAAAACTGAATAGATCTACACTTTTCTGTTTTGGATGGAAAGCTGTAAATCATTGCAATAAAATTGTAGCTTTTATACAACAATATTATACAAACAACATGTGCGGTTATTAACTATACTAATATTTGTTAATATACAATCCAACTTGTTATAATTATAATAGATGTCAAATAGTGCAGTTGATTTCTGTTTCATGGAATCCCAGACAGTATATTTCACTACCACTAGAGCACACTGTAAGCTTAAAACACAAGGTATATTTCTGTCTGTATTTGACTACGACAGCCTCATAAATCCTTGACCATGTTGAACACTACTAATTCAATGATGTTCAGAGTATTTGCCAATTGTGTCTTTAGTTGTGCAGGCCCTTTAAATGATTAAACCTGACATTTCCTGGAGGAGCAAGAAAATGAACAGGGAGCAAAAAGAAGGCAATGTGAGCAGAATTTGTGGAGATAAAATGATATGATGCTGGACATAATTACTTTTCAAAGCTGTAATGGATCATTTTCTAATTCAAAGCTTACATGTTTATTGGTATATTACCTTTATAATATTGTCTACAGTTGATGATTGCACACTGCAACACTATAGGCTGAATAATCAGAGCTAGTGGTAAAATACATGGTCCACTCATACTTTTCACCATAAGATACAGTATTTCCAATTTCCCATAGACTTTTATACCCCCAGTGTGTGGATATCTCTGCTGGCTCTTTTTTGAGTGTGTGGACATTGACAATCAATACAGACTGCACAGAGTTTGATAAATTGCTCTTGACATACAATATGCCTCGTGCTCTCCCACTCTGCAAACAAACAGTATTGTGTGCATAAATCTTCCTGTACTGTTGAATTGGAGAGGTAGTAAGGGAGCTTCCCTTTGCTCTCACAGCATTTGTTTTCCCTTCTGTGAGCACACATTGTGAGTTTTCCAAGGATGTAATGTTGTTTACTAGGAGATACCTTGCGCACATTAATCTTTTCCAGCGCAAGGCAGCAGTACCTTTGACCAGTAAACATGGAGGGCAGTGCTGAACTAACATGGCCTTAGCTTGCTGCTTCCCACACCTCTGCTTATGATTGATTATGCCTCTGTAAAGCTGTGCATTTAAGCCACTGGCAGGCATACCACCACAGCAGTATGAGAGGTGGCGTATTGCAGATCTAGAGTGGGAAGGGAAAATTGTTCTAATGTTTACTAAAAGTTTACATTATGGCTTCATACATCATTCTGTTAGACTGGCAAGCTAATTATAAAACTATAAAAATATTGTCTATGGCAAAACAAGCCATCCAATGTATAAAATACTATATAAAAAAAAGCATAATCTTATTTTAAAAGGAAAAGTTTGCACCACAGGAGTTTTATCAGATCAATACCAGCAATACTGAATCAGAATTTTAATGTCAAGACCGAGCGACACCTTAAACTCAGCAATATATATTTTTAAATCTTGCAGCTTAAATATGAGGCCACTGCTTATTCTCTGTTTTTTTGTTAATGCAACCTGAGGTGGCAGGATATCAGGAAGGTAAATTCAATGTGACACTGCCATCTCACCAGGAATCTCCAGGCACACAAACTACCACACCAGCAGTGCATTTGCTCTCTCTGGTTGTGGTGCCTCTATCGCGCAGATTCCCCCTCACACTTCTGCATTATTTCCCCCTGTGTTAACTGTGGTGTGTGATTATCATTCTCGCTGACTTCCCATTCATCATCATTTACTAATTTAGTTCTGCGGAAAAGACTGGCACAACTTCCATTGGAGAAACTAATTAGTTAAGAGAATGGAGCAGAAAATCAGAGGGAGATGTTTGAAAGTGCAGTGTCAGCAGAGAGATTATGTTAAAAAAAAAAACATGGACAATGTGTTGTTGTTTTA